ATTATTGCAGCAAGAGGAAATGGCTCCTGGTTAATGAACACGTTGGCAGATGGAATATGAAAAGACCAAAGTTCCCAATGTTATCTAGTGCTCCCTTCTACTGCAGCTGTTGTTTATAAATAAACAGAGCAGAGGATTCTCATCTGTTCATTCTTTTACTCCAAAAATGCTACCGAGTCCACAATACTCATCAGGCTGAGATCCAGCAGAGAACAAACGAACAGAAGTCCGCTCACTCGAGGTTCCTATTCTGCAGGAAGACTCACAGCCAACAAGTAAACAAAGAATCCCAGAATATGCTGAGTGCCACGAGGTATCCAAGACTGGAGAGAGTGGTGCGGAGTGGCTGTGAGACGACTCCTTAGCTGACACCTCAATAGCAAAGCGGACTTATGGTGAGTACATCTAGGAGCGGAAAGGTTCAAACAAGGGGCCCCGCAGGCAAAGCTCTGGGCCTGTAAAAGGACCGAACGAACAGTGAAAATGTCTGAAGTCACGGGTGAATCACAGAAGTCTTTGCCTATTGTGATCAAGCAGGCACCAGTTGTTTGACTCATGGCAACGCCATGTGTGTCAAAGTAGAACGGTGCTTTATGAGCGGTTTCCCTGGGCAGGTTCAAACCTCTAGTGTAGCAGCTAAAAGTATTCACCATTTACACTAACCAGGCACTTCTCCTGACAGGAGTATGAGTTATTTCTGAATGCAATGGGGATATACTGGAATGTTTCAATAAATAACATGATCTGGTCCATACTCTTAAAACATGTAGAGACAAATATGACTGAAAAAAAATATGAATGAATCATAAAAAATTGTGCTGGATAAAGGAAGCTAGACACAACAGAATTAAGAAAAAGTGGAGTCTGTGATTATAAAACACAAAGAGAATCAGAACAGGGCTGCCCAGAGTTCAAAAGAAAAGATGGGGTGCAAAGGGCTACTGGTCTGAAGAGTGGAGGAACTTTTGAGTTATGAAAATGTCCTAGCATCTTGATAGGGGCTTAGCCAATGCTTTTATTAAACCTCGAGTGCTAATGTTTGTACATATCCTTCGTATATAACGTTTGTTCCCCCCAAGGACTAGGCAATATGAAGCTCTAGACATTTTCCTGACAACACAACATGTACTAGGCTCTTGAAGACAAGCCTCTGAACAAAGAAGCCTGCAGAGTCACTCAAACCACGGCTGTCTGCAAAGCATGCGCTAAGGCTTGTGGTAAGGTTAAGAAATATATGCAGGGTGGATTAACCCTGACCTGTTGTCTTGGTCTCTCAGGGGTGCTGTACCACAAATACCATAAGTAGGGCGTGAAAGGAAAGAAAGGTATTTTCTCATAGTTCTCCAGACGATCAACCCAAAGCAGGGTCTCAGCCGTTTGCAGTCTCGGTCTTTCCTCTGCTTTCTTATTAGCTCCCAAGTGTCCCTGGGTCCTTAGCAGTGCCTGGCTTTGTTATGTCAACTAAAGCATGAAGAAGCAGTGTTCTTCATGCAGGTATATTTTACACACACACACACCCCATGCACATACCTTTTATATCTATTCTGCTTTTTTCACAAATCAGAAGTGATTAGATGTGAGATCCACCTTACGCTGAACAGCCTCATTTACATAACAAAAGAGTGTCTCTTTCTAAACAGAATCACATCCACAATTACAGAGACCATGTCTTAACCCATATTATCAAGAGACTAGGGAAGGCTTCCTGGGAGGCAGAGCAAAGGAGGCTGAGGGAGGAAGCAAAGGGAAGGGAGGTTGGTGCTACATCTATAGGGGCATCTGCCTGGCTGTCCCCCTTCTACCCTCTGCCCAAACTACACTTCACTCCTGCAAAGTTTTAGCCCTGCTAAGAAAGGTTTTGCTTTGGGTTAGCATTTTAAAACTGTAGCCTCTCTGTATGTGCTCACCAAATTTCAATGAGCTAATATATTGGGGAAGTAAATGCATTCCCTTTTACAATTGCAAAAAGATATGTAATATAACTGTGTTAGTCTGAGTACATTAAAGAAACAAATCCACAGAAACTCATGTAGAAGAGAGAGTTTTATATAAAGGATAAGTGCACATCAAGAAAACGTCTTAACCCAGTGCTGCCCAAACCCACAAGTCCAACATTAACCCAGGGATGCAGAGGGATCGACTTTTATTCAACTAGTTTTAAGAAGGGATGATTCTCTCAAGAGCAGGCAGAGAAGAAGCTGGTCTGTAAGGGTTCTGTGGGGGCATGGATAATGGAACTTGAACAGGCTCCCATGTCTGACCAAGGGCTTGTACAGAGAGCAGGGGCTAGTCAGAAGACTCGGGACTGTAAGAGCAGCACAGAGCTGGGGAGCTTTGAGTGAAAGGGAGCAATGTTGAAAGGGTAGTTTTAGCAACATCGCAGTGTTTAAAATCAAACCAACTTGCCTGAAGTCTATTCTGACTCCAGGGAATTCTATAGGCCCCTATAAAGCTGCTTCTTAGGCTATAAACATTTACAGAAGTAGAGTCCTTACCTCTTTTTCTCCTATAGAGAGGTTGGTGGGTTCGAACCATAGATTTTTTCCATTAGTAGTTCAATGCTTAACCCGCTGTACCACTCCGATGTTTTTGGTCAAATCTCCGTTCTCTTATGGAACACTGGCACAGAGTCTATTCTCAGGGCTTCTGGAGTTGGGTTTCTGAAGCTGATGATAGAGATGTCACCAGTCTTCAAGGCCACCTTAATATATACAGCTTATATGAGCAGACTACCCAGTGAAAGAAGACGTAGCCTGCAGATAGTCAGAACAAACTTTGGCATATAACTTAGTTTTTATGGTGCAAAAGAACTGATTTAACACATCTATTGATGAGTGACTAGCCATTATATTTATGTCTGGATGCAGTAATCATTTGAACTTTTTGGTTTCATTTTAAGCACTTTCTATCTGTTACTCCACTGTTGGAGCATAACTTCTGAGGCAAAGGACTAAGGCACGCCTGGACCGAGCCACGGTATTTTCAATTGCCCCCTATGAATGTGAAAGTTGGAAGACTGAAGAAGAATCGGTACCTTTGGACTGGGGTGATGACCAAGGCTCTTGAAAGTACCATTGACTACCAAAGGATCCAGTGACCTGTCTTAGAAGTGTGCCCAGAGTGCCGCTTACAGGCAAGGGTAGCAAGACTTTGTCTTACGTACTTCGTGCATACTGTCAGGAGAGAGCGGTCCCCGAAAAAGGACATCATGGTTGGTAAAGTGAGGGGCAGTGAAAGAGTAAGGCTGTCAGCAAAACGGATTGAAGTCGTGGCTGCAACAAGGGGCTCGAGTATGGGAACAATGGTGAGGATATGTGCAGGAGCAGGCAGTGTTTCATGGCAGTGTGCGTAGGGTCACTATGGGTTGGAACCGATTCGATGCCACTTTACAGCAACAGGTGTGCCGAAGGCTAGGGTTTGCAATGGAGTCGCTAAAGCTATTTTTGGAGTCGCCACATGCATTCAGCCTCCAGTGAGTTCTTTCTGATCACTGAACAGCAATGTAAAACACTCTGCCTTCAGACAGAGTGTGCAAGTAGATTGCTAGGACTTCCAGAGCCAGCCCAAGGAGGAGCAGCGCAGCCCTGGGCCTTGCCTACATGCGCTCTTGATGGAAATTGAGGTACTAGGGTGGCATGGGCATGCGTCATACCCAGACCGCATTGATCAGAGGGCCCTGAAAATGTTCAAAATGTTCTTATGTGTAAGAGTGTACGAGTCTGTAGTTCTGCTTGCAATTGTGATGTTGCCAATCGTGATTTTGTGACACTTCCCATTGTTCTCCATGTCCCATTGACGTGGATAGGTTTTCATCAATCCCTGGTCACCATTTTTGCCTCATGCTGATGATCTCCAGGTGAGTGAGGTCACTGTGAGTCTGAATCAACTTGATGAGAGTAAGTTTTGTTTTTGTTTTTCTCCCCTACAGCCTCCTTCCCCTACCTTGCCCCCAAAGGGGCAAATTCACAGGGAGGGCAAGGTGCTGACTGAGATACTTTGCTGGGGGTCTGGGAGTGGTGCGACCACGAGCCTAAGGATAGGGCGCAGCCAAGGAATAGGGCATGCCAAACCCTTCTTCTAGCTGGAATCGGAGCATGAGCAGGCACAGGGCTGGGGAGAAGAGAAAGGAGACAAGTGCTAGGGAAGGAGAAAGCCCGAGAAGAATGCACAAGTAAGTCTACATGAAATAGAGTCGACTAGAGGCCATTTGCTTCATCACAAATTTCTGCCCTTAGCTAATCCATTTCCAACAGGAATGATGATGATGATGATGATGATGATGATAAGTCTAGCAGGTGTTGGCCCCAGACCTAATTTGGAATTTGACCCCGTGGGTCCTCACCTACTCAGGCTCTGCACCCTTGAGGCTCCTCACATGAGCACAGAGGTGGAAGCTGGCCGGGGAATGAGGAAGTAGGAGCGCAGAGGTCAGGAGGCAGGGAGGGAAGCAGAAAAGCGCCCCGAAGGGGGACTGAAGGAGGGGCTGGAGAG